TATAAACTGTATAAAAATCTTGACCTTTATATAGTCAACTTTTTATAATCACCAAATTTTTGTTTCCCGATTATATCAAGGACTGACTGTACTTTAAATTTGTAAAATTTAATAAGTCAGAATTTCTCTAAATTTGCAAATAAATATTTTATTAAATAAATTAAAATTCTTACTTTACAGTTAATTTCTCTAATCGTAATCTCCTTAAATGCAACATTTTTTTTTAAATGCAAGTTCAAACTTTCACCTAATATAAGCTAATGATTTAAAGAAATATTATTATCCTGTATATCTTGGATACACTGTAATAATATTACTGTATTTTCACATAGATAATAATGAGATAAAGTTAATATTGGAATACATTCATGTGATTAGCAAAATTTACATTAATCTAAGTATGCGCATGTAGTTTTTAAGCTATACATTTTTTCGAAATAACGTTATTACACGAAAATATAGTAGACACATTGCTATTATAGTATTATATGATAAATGTAAAAAATTATATATATGTATAAACTATATAGTAATTTTAAAACTATTACTACTACAAAGTAATCATTATATAACTATGTAGTCACTTTGTAGTAGCAATAGTTTTAAAATAACTATATAATTTATATTATATATCTTATTTTTGTCTTATCATTTACTATACACAAACTACAATTCCTTGTTTTACCTTCCCAATCATTCATTCCTCATTCCAATTCTTTATAGTCACATTCACTAAGCCACTTCCAAATATTTTCATTGCGCATTCCCAATTTTTTCATGTGACCATTCCAATATATTCATTGCGCCTTTTTCAAATGTTTTCATTGTGCCCTTTTCCAAATATTTTTCATTGTGCTCTTTCACAATCCTTCATTGATCCCCTTTCCAATATCTTTATTACGCCCTTTTCAAATATTTTCATTGCACCCTTTTCCAAATATTTTCATTGCGCTCTTTTACAATCCTTCATTGATCCCCTTTCCAATATCTTTATTGCGCTCTTTTCAAATGTTTTTATTGCGCCCTTTTCCAAATATTTTAATTGCGTTCTTTCATAATCCTTCATTGATCCCCTTTCCAATATCTTTATTGCGGCCTTTTCAAATATTTTCATTGCGCCCTTTTCCAAATATTTTCATTGCGCTCTTTCACAATCTTTCATGTATCCATTCCAATATCTTCATTGCGCTCTTTTCAAATGTTTTCATTGCGCCCTTTTCTAAATATTTTCATTGCATTCTTTCACAATCTTTCATTGATCCCCTTTCCAATATCTTTATTGCGCCCTTCCACAGCCTTTCATTGCACCCCTTCCCCTTCTCAACTTTTCATTCTACCTACAATAGTTTATTGTACTCTTCCGAATATTTTCTTTACGCCCTTTCCAAATATTTATATTGCACCCTTTTCAAATATTTTATCAATATTTTCTTATACCATTGTGTCGTTTCCAATATTTCATTGTATCATACCTAATATTTTCATTACGTTCCTTTCTAATATTTTCAATGCGCTCTTTCCCAATACTTTCATTGCGCCCTTCATTTTACCCTTTCTGAACTATAATTGATAGACAAAACCTAGAGTTTCGCTCTAACAAAATGCAAAACTAGTTTTGTTTCTTGTTAATTAAAAACATCAAATGGCAAAATGATGAAACTAGTGAAGTGGCAATTGACATAATGTGGTGAAACTAACAAAATGTGGTGAGACTGACGAAGTTGAAAAAATTGTACATTCTGAAAAAATATATTACAGTAGAGGTGCAGACATATTGTCATCACTAGTTCCGGTTTAACAACATTTTTTATAAGAGCTAGATAGTAATTAGATTCACCAGCACCCATATCTGATATTGATACAATTTTGATTTGTTGATAATAAAATTGTAACATTATCCAGAAAATGTGTCAAGTTTGTGCTACAATTGCTATAACGATTATAATGATAGTATATTCTATAAAATATAAAGAAAATAATAATAAATAATACAGGTTACCCCCGTTAATATCAACCTAAGCTACAAACAAAATTTTTATAAATTTTTATATATCAAAATTCCCTCATATATGTCAACTTTAATATGATTTCTCGTTAATATCACTATCAACATGATTT